TCTCGTAATTATTGCGAAGTTTTTAATATACAAGAATTTTTTTTTTTAAGTTTATACCTTCGTGTTTCTCTCACTTTCTTGTTCGTTTATCTATTTTCCTTCTCTGTTTGTCGATCAACACAAGTGTCTATCGGTTCTTCCTACACCTAGGGAAATCTCCGTCACCAGTATTATCAACAGCAATGTAGGTAAATGGTTCAGAGAACCGACGAGTTGATAAATTAGACACATGTACAACAGCTGCGCATCTTTATTGAGGAAACGTTTCTGATCTTCACTATTCCTCTTTATTTTACACTAATGAAGCCATTGTGTGGCTAAACATTTGTTCAAATGAAGATACCCAAGTGTTGCACATGTGTCTAATTTATTAATTATCAACAGCACCAGAACTCCACATTACCACACACACGGAAACAAAAGCACTCTTCAGCTTTTGTAACAGCAGCAAGAACTCTAACACAGTCACCAGTATTTAGCTAGTTCTAATCCACTTCTGAGTAGAACTGCGAACTTTCACACATTCAGCTGAAACGAACTAGCTCGAATCTACTTTAAACTAGAACTACGAACTCTCCCACATTCGTCAGCAATTAGCTAGCACTAACCCACTTTAAAATAAAAATTAAAAATTGTCATAGATATTCAACAGCACTGATCTCGCTCGAGTCCAGTTGGTAAGATGTGATTTAGGCTCAGGAACTCCGATTTAGATTCAGAAATTTTAATTTAGTTTCACGACCTGTGATTTAGGCTCATGACTTTTAATGTATATTCACGAATTGTCAGCCTGAGACTTTACCTCGAGTCACGTCTTTTAGCAAAAGATTTATTTTTTCGTTTGGCGGCAGGTAAGTATAACTTGAAATGTTTTATTTAGATGACTTTTAAAAGTATATTTTATTTAGTGTAGAAGAGTGTTGAGCTTTTTTTTTTCTCGGGAAATAGATCCCAACCGTCTTGATGTTTAATGTTATTTTATTAAGTTGTTTTATTTGTTTACCGGCATTTTCTCATTTCCAACAGCTTTATTAAACGAAAACTGAAGAACTTTATAGAAAAATAATGATGCGTGCAGTTCACTGTTTTTCCGCGGTAATAAAATGTCGACTTCAAAATCACCTTGTGCCGCTGTTTCTCTCTCTGGTGTAAATTAATTCACTTTCCGAACTGATCATCACTTAACGTGAACACTTGAGTCTAAACTCCTCTCTCTTACTCGAACCTAAATTTAAGGAACTTCGCTTAGCTAAACTGAACTATATGAATTTCCTATTGTGCACTGAAATGTAAATATCAGGTACCTATATCTTAAAACTTTATACCTCAGCTCTGTGTAAAGTCAAAGTTTTAGTAAATTATTGCTGTCTGAAAATATGATATTTAAAGTTATCAAGATTAAGTTATTTCTTTACATATTTTTCTATACATATTCTTTTATTAATTTATTCAGACTTTCACTATCCAGACATAAAATATAACATATTTATTAATTTGCCTTTATATATCCTTCATTTTCCGGACAGGTTGACACGATACTTAATAGAATATCCTTTATCCAGAACATAGGAAACTGTTTATAAGTTTTCCTGACCTGAGCAAACTAGAACTATCGATACCTCATATCAGGATGTAATAGAATAATAACGATAAGTAATTTGTAAATATTTCTTGTCAGAATTTAATATCATGCACCTCAGCAATCCGGAGTTTTCCTAACTAAACAATATAAATAAATTACTGCAGTTACCCTCAGTAACCAGTTTTTAAATTTTCGCTCAAAATTTAGTAGTGAACCATCAGTAACTTGATTTAAGATCATCACGTGGAAACATACCCAGACACATCCTCTTTAGCCACTGAAACTCGATGTCGTCGTCACTGCACAATAACCCAGAATGAAGGTCGCCACTTTCAACTCTTCCAGATGTATCCTCTACCCAATGTAACCTGCACTTACCGTCATTGCTCAACAACCCGGATATAACATCGTCAGCGCCAGCAACCCGAGACACCTGGTCGCACTTTGATGCGGGGCAACGTCTTCATTATGAACTATAAATAAAGGAAATTATCCTTGACTCCTTTGCTTCTAGGTTTCATTTTGCGAACTAGTGCCTTGTTGTTCTGGCCCTGACGACCCGTGTGCCGTGATCAGGGACTTTAAGCCTTGGGCACCAGTTCAATGAGGGTCAGTCTCTCGTGAGATTCCTCAAAGATAAGTCGGGCTTGAAACTCAGTGAAGTGGTTCTTTCGGCTTTCAGTCACTAATCACTGCAGACGTAGGCTAAGAGAAAAATAAAACCCAGGTAGGTAATATGACTAAACTTTCAACTTCTTTGTCTTTACCTCTCTAATATTACCCTAATATAACACTGGCTGCAATATGTTGGATATACCTCTATGTGCATCTTCACCAAAATAGATTCCTGGAAATCTGCATTGCATGTATGTGTACTTGTGTGTGTGTGAGTGTGTTTATATACAGGTCATGTCCCGTGTCTCTCTATGGTGAGACGACTAAGGTAAACGCTGTTCTTTTGTTTATAGTAATACCCTAAACAATATTGTCATAAAGCAAGGATATAACTTCCATTTTAACATTTGTACTTTTCACTTTTGCAAAGTTAAAAATTTCACTTATGTGTCACTGAAGAGTTTCATTAATATGAATTCTGTTTGATATTTAAAGGCTTATTGATTAGATTCTGTTCAGAAGATACAATATATTTTTTAATCAGTAAGATTTAATATGTTCTCCTGAAAACTATAATATTATATGTTGTTTAAATGAATTTTATATAAATTTTCAACCCTTAAGCATTGTAAACATGACACGTCACAACACAGCCATCCTGTTAACACAGCATTAGTAACACATCACAGCACAGCCACCATGTCAACACAGCATTAGTAACACGTCACAACACAGCCATCCTGTTAACACAGCATTAGTAACACATCACAGCACAGCCACCATGTCAACACAGCATTAGTAACACGTCACAACACAGCCATCCTGTCAACACAGCATTAGTAACACGTCAGAGCACAGCCATCCTGTTAACACAGCATTAGTAACACATCACAGCACAGCCACCATGTCAACACAGCATTAGTAACACGTCACAACACAGCCATCCTGTCAACACAGCAATAGTAACACGTCACAGCACAGCCATCCTGTTAACACAGCATTAGTAACACATCACAGCACAGCCACCATGTCAACACAGCATTAGTAACACGTCACAACACAGCCATCCTGTCAACACAGCATTAGTAACACGTCACAGCACAGCCATCCTGTTAACACAGCATTAGTAACACATCACAGCACAGCCACCATGTCAACACAGCATTAGTAACACGTCACAACACAGCCATCCTGTCAACACAGTATTAGTAACACATCACAGCACATAACCTGTCAACACAGCATTAGTAACACGTCACAACACAGCCATCCTGTCAACACAGCATTAGTAACACGTCACAACACAGCCATTCTGTTAACACAGCATTAGTAACACATCACAGCACAACCATCCTGTCAACACAGCATCAGTAACACGTCACAACACAGCCATCCTGTCAACACAGCATTAGTAACACGTCACAACACAGCCATCCTGTTAACACAGCATTAGTAACACATCACAGCACAACCATCCTGTCAACACAGCATCAGTAACAAGTCACAACACAGCCATCCTGTCAACACAGCATTAGTAACACATCACAGCACAGCCGTCCTGTCAACACAGTATTAGTAACACATCACAGCACATAACCTGTCAACACAGCATTAGTAACACGTCACAACACAGCCATCCTGTCAACACAGCATCAGTAACACGTCACAACACAGCCATACTGTCAACACAGCATTAGTAACACATCACAGCACAGCCATCCTGTCAACACAGCATTGTAATACATCACAGCGCAGCCATCCTGTCAACACAGCATTAGTAACACATCACAGCACAACCATCTTGTCAACACAGCATTAGTAACACATCACAGCACAGCAAACCTGTCAACACAGCATTAGTAGCATCACAGTACAGCCATCCTGTCAACACAGCATTAGCAACATCACAGTACAGCCATCCTGTCAACACAGCATTAGTAACACATCACTGTACAGCCATGCTATCAACACAGTAACACATCACAGTACAACAATGCTGTCAACACAGCATCAGTAACACATCACTGTACAGCCATGCTGTCGCCACAGCTAGTGACACCTGCCACTGCATTATCACCTCATCACCAGCACCACAATCACCATCATTATCACCACCGTCTACCCCCACCCTTTATCCACATCATAGCCGTCTCCATTATCACCATTATCCCAGCTCATCACTACAGCTATAATTACACCTACATGACGACCATCACCATTATTACGCTCACATACTACTATCACCACCACCACTACCACCATCACTATCACAACCACCACGACCACCACGACCACCACGACCACGACTACCTCCACCACCACCACCATCACTATGAGTCCCTCCACCACCACCACCACGACCACCACCATCACCACTACCTCCACCACCACTACCACCTCCACCACCATCACCACCTCCACCACCATCACCATCACCACCACTTCAGCCACCACCACTCCCACTGCCATTAACAACACCACCACCCCCACCACCCCCACAACCACCACAACAACCATTATGCTCACCTACCACCAGCACCATTATTGCCACACTAGCACCTCCCGCCTCCCACACTAGCACTACTATTCCCCACACTAGCACCACTACTCCCCACACTAGCACCACTACTCCCCACACTAGCACCACTAATCCTCACACTAGCACCGCTACTCCACACACTAGCACCACTACTCCCCACACTGGCACCCCTACTCCCCACACTAGCACCACTATTCTCACACTAGTACTGCCTCCCTTCATACCAGCACCACTCTTCGTTACTAACTGTATACCACTTTACAGTCACTCTACCCGCCTGCTGGCCGCCACTACCCTGCGAAATGTGTTGGGAACGAAGAACTTGGCGGAGATCCTCAGCGAACGAGAAAGCATCTCTCACAACATGCAGAGCTCCTTAGACGAAGCCACCGACCCCTGGGGCGTCAAAGTCGAACGAGTGGAGATGTGAGTATCAGCACTCATTCAATTCAAGTTTATTCTCTATAATGGTTACATTGTGGGGTTTACAGGTTTTGGGTATTTTGTGGTTTACATGTTATAAAATACTAATTACAGAGGGGGCCACTAGGACACCTAGCATGGCTAGGCATTTCAAGCAGACTTTGATTAATTCTTAACATTAAATCCTTACAGATTATAGTATTAAGGCTAAGTGACTACATCATAATTTGTGAGTTTAGCAATGTGAATGCTTTTGTTTTGGCACAATACAAGGTGTCTATATTTGAGTATCATAGGCAAACTTATGACTAGCTAGGATTTCATTTGCTAACTTGGGAACACTGAGGGAGGACGTGAGAATGAACACTCAAGGTTACCAAGGGAATACTGAGGGGCAGACCTGAGTACATTCATACATAGATACTCTGAAAATGTGGAAAGAGGGAGGGAGATGTATCATCACTCACGGATACCCCGGAAACACTGAAGGAAATGGAAAGGGAGGAGAATATAAACATATGAGACTCAGCCACTGAGCCAGTCTCTCAAGGTCCCGGGTAATAAACGGGAAGAAGCAGAGGCAAAGGCTAATGTATTTCACACATCATCTAAATCTTGGAGTAATTTCTGAGCTATACACGGGGTTATGAAAAAAAGGAAGTAGTTGTCACAGCGAGTTCTACAAACAAGCAGAACGTGAGTTCCTGGCTCTCCTACTTTCTCTTGAATCGCTTCTAATGGACGACTCTACTGATTGTGGCAAGGGTGCATTCATCTCAACTATTTTACCAACTTGCGGGGAATCCTGTTTTTTCTCTGTGCTACTTACAGTATTTGCAAATTAATACATTTAGTATATGAGGTGCCCTTGGTTTTAGATTTAGGCAAAGGATTTATAATATCCTGTGGCTCTGTCATGATATCTGACACCTTTCACGAAACATTTTAGCGCTGATATTTAATAAGTTTTATGATATAATGAAGTGTAAAGTTTATATATATATATATATATATATATATATATATATATATATATATATATATATATATATATATATATATATATATATATATATATATATAATATATATATATATATATATATATATATATATATATATATATATATATATTATATTATATATATATATATATATAGGATGGGGTCCACCTCTGGTGTAAATTATGGGACCCATAGCCTCGGAGAAGTGGATAAAAAGGCTTCAAGGAAGAATATTTGGATTTCTTCCTGAAGCCGTTTGAATATTCCACTTCCCCTACCACCCCATCTTTTAATATTTGTTTTTACCAATAGGAATATTTTATTACATAATATGGTACAGAAGATTTAAGAGATACATTGTTGATATAAAGGTTGATATAAGGTACATGTTGTTACGTGTGTATCACCGATTATAAGGCGAAAATCTCATCCAGTTCCTCAGAGCTGGGGCGTGTGCCCAAAATACAGCAGGCATTACCCCTTTGAACAGCCGCACTGAGCCGCTGGAACAGAAAACTAGCTGCCCTGGGATCCCTAGTTACCCTGATGAGTCTTTTTCCCAGCTCCTTAAGGAATTTAGATGCACTCTTTTCCCATGAGCCAAGGGTCTCTGAGCCTATGGGAACAAACATATAATGATGGGCAAGTTCTCCATATTTTCTAGACTTTTGGGACTCCCTGAAGCTGGCAGCTGCCCCTCCTTCCTCCCTGGTGTATTGGAGATAGGTATCAGCCAAGGTAGATGCACATGTATAGTCCCACACCACCTTGAAGGGTGATACCATCTGGACGCTTCTGGCTGCCGTCAGATCTGCGTAGTTGGGGTGGCTCCCTTACTGCTGTGCATCCAGCTGTTGTGAGGCTCCTCTTGATAATGTTATTAACCTCCTCATGTCTTGCAATCTTTCCCTCGGATTTACGGTCGAATAGGCAGAACTTGGGATAAGTTAAGACTGGGATTACAGGGAAGTGGGTGTGGGAGGGAAGAAGAGCGATTGGTGGAATGATGATGTAAGGAGAGTAGTAAGACAGAAAAAGTTAGCATATGACAGGTTAGTGCAAAGTAGAAGTGATGCAAGGAGGGATGAGTATATGGAGAGAAAATGAGAGGTTAAGAAAGTGGTGAAGCAATGTAAAAAGAGAGCAAATGAGAGAGTAGGTGAGATGTTATCAACAAATTTTGTTGAAAATAAGGAAGTTCTGGAGTGAGATTAATAAGTTGAGGAAACCTAGGGAACAAATGGATTTGATAGTTAAAAATAGGACAGGAGAGTTGTTAAATGGAGAGTTAGAGGTATCGGGAAGATGGAGGGAATATTTTGAGGAAGTGTTAAACCTTTCCACAGGTTTAAGCAAAGCCACATATGCCATGCCTTGGCAAATGTTGAATGTTTCCGGGGATAGGTCACTTTGTTTTTCCACATTGCTAAAAGATTTAGCAAGGTCAGCATATTTAGTGCTCCCACTAGTAGGAGCGAAGCTTAAATACCCTAGAGCTGTCTGTTGGTCCCGGGTAAAGCTCAACACTCGACAGGTTAATAGCAAAATCCGGGTTAGGGATATCTGATCCACCGGGTTGATAGAAATTTCATTCTTACAGTATATAGGAAGACCACTAACGTTTGCTCTTATATCTACTAATATTCTAACCATGAAACAAAAGTAAAAAAAAGAGTGTCTTTCTCACTGAGTTTCTGAGAGCTTACCGAGTCTACAGACAACGTAAAAATCAATACTGGCCTCATTGACAAATTGCAGAATGTTAACATGTCCAATTTTGATGATACTGCATTGTTTAGAGTGACGATCCTGGCTCATGACCTGGCTCCGGGAGTAGAAAAGCTCTCTAAACTTATCAAAGGCATTTACCCGAGTTCCTGTTCTGGATCTGTTATTCTTTCTGGATGAATACTTAGATGTGTTCCCCCTACTGTTCGATAAGAACACCATTACTGAGTTGATTATGTGTAGAATGGACGGGTGTGTAGGTGTGATTAATCAGTTAATTATCCAGTCGGGTCATCAGTTGAATCCAGTCCAAGAACCTGCTGCCCTATCGCCTGATAATCTAGAATTACTTACCTCTATCTACACAGGGCAATGTGTGTTCCTGAGCGTAGACATATTTCTGGATATCATGAAGTTCTGTGGATAGACCTTCCACGTGGCCGGTACTCTGACAAAGGTACAAATGTGCATTCAGTAGAATTGGTAACAAGCACATACCGTCGTGATGTGTGGGGCCTTTAGGATATTAGCTTCCCACGTTTGTAATGTGATTAGTGAAGGGTAATGTTCTTTACTATACAAGCCTAGTGGTGTAGCGAGTGAATGAAGGGTAAAACGCTCTCTTAAGCTAGGCTGTGAAAGACCCGGTGTTATGTGCTTTCATTCTCCTCTGTAAATAGGTTTTTTTGGAGACGTGAAATGTCTTCCCACATTCGTTATGTGACTGATCAGTTTAGGTAGTTGTCCCCACGCTGGTGGGTGGCACAAGTGGTGGCCAACTGTTATGGATTTATATACTAAGATTAAAGTAATCGTATATACTATGTTAATTAATCTACATCTAACTGAACTTAAGTACTTATAAGATAGATTGAGTAGTAGTCCAAGTTAACTTAAGTACTTATAAGAGAGACTGAGTAGGAGTCTATTAAAAGACAACAGTTAAATTAGTCGTACGATTAAGTTTGTAGGGATTGTAGGTTAGGTAGACATATTGTGTTACAGGTCTTCCAAGCTCTCAACTCTACCACATCCTTCACAGCATCTTACCCCCCCCCCCCCCCGCCCAAGTCAGAGGAATAACTGGGAATTCGAAATTCCCCACAGATCAAGTTATGTGTAGTTGATTACAAGTTTGAGTTTAAAGATAAATCTTACACTCAGAGGCAAGGAATGGCCATAGAAAATCCATTGTCTCTTCTATTAAGTAATCTGTACATGGAGTTTTTAGAGACTAAGCTGTTGAGATATATCCTGCCCCATTAAACTAACCGGTTCAGATATGTGGGTGATTTCTTGTGTCTTTGACCGAATCATATGGTTCTGGGCACATTTTTAACAAGATTTAACGTTGTTGTTTCGTCTGTTAAATTCACTGTGGAGAAAAAAGTGGACTTTAAACTTCCATTCTTCGATGTTCTGATCCGAAGGGTTGATAGAATGTTTAAGTTTAAAGTATATAGGAAGGACACTAATGTTTGTTCATATATCCACTACTAATCTAACTATGAAGCAAGAGAAAAAAATGAGTGTCTTTCTCATTATATTTATGAGAGCCTACCGAGTTTCTTGATGAAGAAAATCTTTGAAATTGCTGGGAAACTGTGATACCCTCAGAAGTTTGTAGGAATGGCTTTACTGGCAGCTAGGAAAACTTATCATAGGACTGAACTTAGGATAACGCCTCAGATTAAAAATGTACTGGCTCTTCCATACAATGAGAATTTATCTGTCCTGTTGAATGCCTTAAAAAGATTCAACATACAAGTAGTTTTTAAGAATTTACGGGTGGCTAAAAGCATTTTGATCAATAATTCCCGTCAACACGATATTGGCTGTTTTTGCAGGATTGGTTGTAACAGCTGCAACTTATCTTACATGGGAGAGACTAGTAAACCTCTAGATGTTAAGCTAGTACAACACTGATATTCGATACGAACAGCTTAGGAATGAAATGTGAGATTCAACCACACCCAGGATTGCAATAATCAAATCAAAATGGTCAAAAAACTAAATCATAGTTTCTTGTTCCTCTTGGCTGGAAAGGAATGTTTTAGAATTGGTGACTTTAAAACATGATGAACATTCACTATATGACAATAGGTTTGAATTGCTCAAACTTGATTCTTTTATAATTGTGTGGCTATTGCACATAACCTTCAGCCGGATTCCAATATGAATTCTTTGGATTGTCAAAAATTTGGTAGTTCCATGTGTGTACACCATGAGGTGTACTTAGGGTCAATTTTTTATGTTTTTTTTTTTTTTGTGT